TTGATATCCCCTACCCAGTAAAATGCAGACCTCTTCAAAAGGCAGTTTTAAAAGGGAAGAGGTGGTATATTGTTGTGGCCAGTATCATATATTATATAGAAGAGGTTGTTTCTGTGAATAGTTCTTTTAGTGTTCAATTTACCGTATACGTAATTCTGAATGGAGAATGATAATTTTCAACCTCTCACAATGGGCAGCGAGTTTTTAGCAGAGGAAGAAGCTGTTCACATACTGTTAGTGGAAAAAAATGAAATGGAAGAAATATTTTGATTTCAGATATAAAATAACTTATTGAAGTCATGCTAGTAACTCAAAACCAATTTCGGTAACTTCTCTCCCCCTCACCACCCCACGTACTATTTTTGTTATATGTCCTATATAGGGCTGAACTTGACAAGGGACTGACAAGCTATTGCCCTGTCAGTGCTGCTGAAATGTACCTTTTTGATGGAGCAGAGAACTGCAGTAGCTTAAGTTGAAGAGAGATCATGGGGAAACTTGCTAGGAACTCTTCCTGTGTTTCATCTTGTTAACTGGAAAAAAAAAAAAAGGGAGCGAGAGGGGGCCGCAGTAAACACCGGGCACTCCAGTAATGCGCAATGTGCTACAGAAGTTGCTTTCCTAGAACCTCGCAGCCTTTAAAGTGCTTCCTCTCCCTCGGTGTTTGGGCAATGTGGAGTCCCCCTAGTGGCCGCATTTTTCTGGGTGTGTTTAAGCTTCGGGACTAATTGATTCCCCACACTTTTTTTTTTTTTTTTTTTTTTTTTTTTTTTTTTTGATCTTGAATTCCTTCTCTCAAGTGATTATTAGCTTGACTTCGGAAGTTAGTTGTTAGTATTGCCGTAGGAGGGACAAATGGCAGCTGCTATGGAAGCAGGATTTACTGTAGACACATTATAAACCTCAGCTGAAGAACACTATGTATGTGCAGTCCTACCTTGTAGTTTTTATGTTCTTTTGCCTACTATGACCTTAACTAACTCTGATTTCTCTTGTTTTTATCCTATTGAGCATTTGGAAAGGAATTGTTTTCAACAAATGAATAAATATAGTAGACGAGAAAAGGGGTGGGGGGATGTTAATATTTCATGCTGTTTCATACATGAAAAGTTTAGACAGCATGTTTCTTGGGAAAAAAGCAACCTGGCTAAGAAGTTTTGAATTGGTTTTGTTCAGTGTCAGCTTAAATGTGCTTATGGTATTAAATTGTCTATGGAAAAATGTTTGGTCAATCCTTAATTAAGAGTACAGATGAAGACAATGATTTCAGAAAGCATTGCAAGCACATTTTTAAAGATTACCCTTTATTAATGAATTTTTTAAAGATTACTGATGAATCTCCATTTTAGAGGCTTGTTCTGGCACTTTTTGTTTATTTACTTTGAAAGAATACTTGATGAGGAGACATTAAAGCTGTTTTTAGAGGAAAGTCTTTATTTGTCTTATATAGAACAAATGTGTGTTATAGAAATTATAATCTGGCCAATATTTTGGTTCCCGTATAGTATATGTTGTCTATAACTTAAAACTTGCTACCTTTTTAAGGGGTAGTTTTTGGCCAACGCTTCTTGCAAAAGTACATTTTTGAAAGAAAACCTGTAACAAATTAAGTTAGCCAAATATTGTGCTCAGTAGCTAGGAAAATGTTTTTTTCCCTTTCCGAATAGGCTTGTCTCCTGATCTTGAACAGCACTGAAATATGTTCAACTGGATGTGAAGCTTTCACACTTAGTTAGTGTTCCGGCTGCTGCCGTTCTTAGTCATCAGGCTGTCTAGACCAAGGCAGACGAGGGGGCTGAAGCACAGTTTGCTCTAAAGGACAAAGAATTGCACAGCATCGTGCTGGGAGCGCACCTCTCATTGAGTTTTGTTAGTTATAAAAATCCCAATCCCTCAATTGCCCAAATCCTTGCTCGTCTCTCTGGTCTCTGAGGGAACCATCGGAAATTCTCTTACCTGTTCAAAATAGGTCTACCACAAACCTGGATCAAAGAGATCCAAAGTCTGGGTTGTATTTGTTCCAAAATAAATTACTGGTTGAATTGTTGTTAATGATAAATTCAGTGTGAGAAATAGGAATAAATAGTTTAGGTTTATTTATTTACTTTTTTAATATTGAAGGAAATAGGAGACATCCTCAAAAATGAAGCACTTTCATAGTGGTAGCTGATACATTTCACATACCCAAACTATATTTTAATTAAATAATATACCTAAGAATAACATTTTTCTTTTTTTTTTGCACGTGGTATTAAAGATGATCAAGTCAGTATTCATAATGTCTGTGAGTACACACATGGTAAGCATATGTAATTAAAGCCTCTGCTAAACAGACTGTAACAGACCCGTGAAAGTAGTCAAATATTATGATGGCACATCCTTAGAGTGTTAAACGTAGATCTAAAAGTAGATCTAACAGCGCTTGCCTCTCTTGAAGCTGTTGTATGATAAGGATTACAGTTATGAGAGATACAGAGTGTTCAGAGACCTCTGGCCTTTGATTAGGGAATTCAGATTTCCTGTGAATAAGGTAAACAGTCAAGAACTGAAAACTCAGCTTAAAGTCAATTCCTTTCTTCAGTCTTTTATTTTCTTTTTCCTTTTTGAATAAAATATGTATGGATGTAATCTTGATATAGCTTTTAGTTTTCCTTGAAGATATTTTCAACAATGGGATAGGGCTGTCCTTTGCATCAAAATTTCATATAAGTTCATTTCTGAATATTAAATTGCAGATATATGCTACATTTAGAAAATTAGAATGCCTTAGCCTACTTAAGGGTAAGGAAGTTAATTTGTAAGTAAAGAAAAAAATAGCTAAGTCTAAACAAACAAATTGATACATTAATTGCACAACTGCATATGGTTTCAGCGTAACTTGTCAAACTGCTTATAGAAGTTTTAGGTGAAACAGGGGGGCATGAAAATAAATTCTACTATTGTGGATTTATTTGGCGGAAGATTATATGTTGGGAGCTGTTTGATTTGGTAGTAGTGAGCTATTCACAGGCTGTTATACAGCTATTATCCTGTTCAAAATCACAATTTATTATTCTGTCTCTATATTTTTGTCAGTAGAATATAGAGACCATATTCATGAAGTACCTTTTAATGTTACTGGTAATTATTGGTGATCTTGAATTTAATTTACTTGGTCAGGCTTATATTTCAGTTGTGTTAGTCATATGGCTTGAATAAGTGCCTATCCTGTCAGGATAATGAATGTGAAGAAAGCTTTGCTAAATTATTTTAAGATTAATATTCATTTTGGGACTGTGGTAAGCTACAGGTCTCAAAGTTTGGACTTGTAACTGAAGCCGACTTCTAACCAAATATTTAGTTTGTCATGCATTGCAGTTGATGATGAACTGACATAGTGCTCTCTCTTGAAAGAGAGCCAATTTTTGTATTTCTTGGTTCATTTGTTTCTCCAAATTTTATATCAGAACTGTGTCCTAGACAACCTCTACTCTGCAGCAAGCTCAGCTTTATCTGGCTGCGGAGTAAGCTGTTGGTGCTGACCTCTTGCATATGTGTTGCTAACAATTCTTTGTGCTGTAACGTCCTCAAGTTTCCAGGCTCTGGATAAAAAAGGGAGAACCTGCCTCCTTTAATGAATAAAAGGAAAGTTACAGTGTTAGCGAATAGGCTGTCAGGCTTAAGTACAAGTTTTTGACAAGCGTCGCTTGAATAAACAATGCTTGTAAATGTAATGCTTGTAAAAGAGGGATTTGAATTTAAACTAACAAGAGTATATTTGAAACAAAGAATGAGCTAAAAATGCACATGTCAATTCTATCACTACTTATTTAATTGAAAATTTAAGATGAAAATACTTCAGAGTATGATTCACTTTGAGCAGTGGTGAAAATAACTATTGGAGCTCTTACAAGTTCTAATTATTTTAAAACTGGTTGAAAGATGAAGCTTAGAAGCAGACTAAATGAAATACTAAAGCAAATAACTGCTCAAACTATTTGCATTCAGTCTTTTGGGGAAAGATATGTCTTACAGAATCAGCAGAATGCGGTGCAAATAATAGCAAGCTAAACTATAGACCTCTCAAAACTACAGTAGTGGAGAAGTGAGAATTGGCTTTTTGTTACTTAAAATGTATGATAAATATTTTAATGCATATTATAGCTTGTACAGATAAGATGAGTTTCAGTGTTGGTTTGTATTGACTGAATATAATTTGAGTGAGTAGGTGTTTAAACCTGTTCATAGACTTTTATGTATGTAGGAAGAAAGGATTATCCAACTATCTGGAATGAGGCTTAGGGGAGTATGAATGGAAAATACAATTTTTCAAAATTGCTATCTAATTCATAGCAGGTAACTTTTAATTCTACTTTGAATAGTGTATATAAGTACATTTGTCATGCTGTACTTGCATTAAATGCTCTTACCTAAGGTGATTTAGAGGATGGGCTTAGTGCAGTGTTAGCCAGGAAGATGTTACTTGCCGACGGAGCTGTGTCTTTTGTTTCCTTGTGCCATTTTAATGCCCATTGTCCACTTTTGTCATGTTGCACCAACAATAAGTCCATTCAACATTTTGATTAAGAATTAAGGACACCTGTGAGAATTTTCAATTGAATAACAAAAAGTATAGCCATCAAGAATATTGGCACAAATATTTGTAAACATGGTTGCCTTATCTGTAATACAAACATTTGGAAGATTTCTTTAAGTGAAATTCGAGTTAAAAAAATGAAAGCTTGTTGTAAACACTGGTCCTCTAAGGTTTCAGATGTCAGTTAAGTGTGCAGACAGCCAGCGTAACTCTTGCTCTGTTTAACAGTGAGTGTGTGTTGGAGCGGGGTTTTAAATTGTTTTAGATTGTCTTCCTTCTTCCTCCTTTTCCCCACCTCGTGAAAAAAAGTAGTAGCAAGTTGCTTGGAAAAATCATTCTGCATGTTAAATTTTAAACAGCTAAGTGAAATGTTAGAGTTGGCAAATAGTTGCCTTTCATTTTTGAAGGGAGCGTGCACTTACTTTTTGTTTTTGCCACAGAGTAAAGCCGTCCCCAGCTGAAGGAGTCAAGTCCAACCCATCCAAGAGACACAGGGACCGTCTGAACGCGGAGCTGGACCGCTTGGCCAGCCTTCTGCCTTTCCCTCAAGATGTTATCGCCAAACTGGATAAGCTCTCTGTGCTTAGGCTTAGCGTCAGTTACCTACGAGCCAAAAGTTTCTTTGACGGTAAGAGTTGAGGATTTATTTGTATTTGGACTACTTGTAAAATTGTGCTCATAATGTATGTTTGTTTCAGTTGTTTAAGTACTTAAAATCATTAAATTTATCTATATTTTCATGGAACCTCTAGTTGCATGGTTATTTGCAGTGTAAGTATATGAAGTAATCTTTTTGGTTTCTTGAAAAACAGATATATCTGCTTGCTTTTCACTTAAATCGTGAGTCTTTCAAAGCTTTACATTTGGAAGAAATATTACCCTTAGTGAGTCTTCCAGTTCTTTTCTTTAGCCTTTCAGAGATATTGAAGAAATGAGGACTTTTTTCCCTTCATAAACCTACTGTTGTTCAATACATTTCATCTGAGTTTCTTATCAGTTGGACTGCTTGCCTGCTGATGCCCCACAAGTGAATTCATTTTAATCTAAAGTAATTGTTAGTGCCCCTTCCTATCGTTTATTGCGAATGTGACCTGTAAAGGAAAAGTGACTAAGTCTTTCCTGTGTCAGACACTGCTCTCTGCAGATCATGAAGGATCAGGAAGACAGAGCTATGGTTCTCTGATTGCGTGGGCAGGTTTTCCTTGACCTCAGGCCTGGCAAGGGTAGTAAAAGTAGCACCGAGTGCTAATGGGGATGAAAACATATGTTCTCTTACACCATCTCAAGGTTGGCAGAGGAATTCTGTCCCTCTCCTTCATTATCTGAATTGTTCTTTAGGGTGGAATGGAGTGATTGACTGGATGCCAGTTCCTTCAAAGGGAAAAATAATAAATGAATGAATAGAACAGGAAGGTTGTATTCAAAATAAATGTCCTAATTTTTATCAATCAGGGAAATTTTACAATATTATAATGAAGATGGAATTATATTGATCAGCTGCAGATACTAAGGAATCTCATTTAGACTGCTGTTAATATTAAATTGTAAGCTTTCTTTCAGTAGAGCTGTTTGAACCTACATCCTCACCAGCTACCACTTTAATGTTTTGGCATCTTCATAGCGTTTCAGTGGTAGTAGGTAATTACTCTCATGGGTATGAGGTTAAGATAGTTTCACTTTTTCCTACAGGACCAAAAAGCTTTTCTCCTCACTTATGGTGACTAGTGACTTCAGTTTGGTAGTGCTAGTAAAACTGTATACCATGTTTTATATCTTGACTGTAGGTACAATGCTGAAAATAGAAAGATCATCTTTTACATTATTTTTAACGTGCTTGATTAACATTGTATAAAATCTGTTTCAGTGAAAACTTGGTCCACCGAAGGAGAAATAAATGCTTTAACGTACATAATGTAGAGCAAAAACTAGGTCAGTACAGAGTTTCATAATATGTCTGCAGAAGGCCTCCTGCAGGTCTACATTTTTGTTGGAATGTTTTGTGTAGCTAAGTAATGTGCCTCATATACATGTAGAGTAAATCTGCTGGATGCAAGAATGAGCACTGATAGTCACCTTGAGCGCCTAGCCTGAGCCAGCAGGTCCACGTTATTAACGCAGCATGCTGCAGTAAAGGGAAACGCTAAATGAATAACAGGATGCAAACGGGGGGTGTGTAAATTCCTGCGGAAAGTAAAATATAAACGCGTAATCATATGATCTTGTTTGAAAGGAAACCCAAGTTTTTGCTGTAACAATAGATATTTTTTCAAAGAAAACACTTGCATTTTTCCAAGTTTAAATAATCCAGAGTGGATGTCTGTCTTCTGAAGGCGGAAGTCTGTGAAAGAAAGAATTGTTTTGTAAATGACATTGCAAATAGATTTTGTATCAATTCAAATAGATGTATCTTGCTTAAATGTCTAAAAAACACATATAGTTGGTACTTTAAAGGCTAAGTATAAAGGAAGGGTTTTGCTTGTGACTTTTCATCTCCTCTCAGCCCCATCCCTAAGTCTTTAAGGTGCTGCAGAATCATTTTCAGAGGTGAAGTGGGATGAGTTATTCTGCAGCCTCAGGATTAAGGTGCAACAAAACTCTGCACTTCTACCTGCACAGGGTGGCGTCAAGGCAGGTTTTGAAGATCTCCAGAAAAGGAGAGTGTATTTTTTTTTTATTTTCTATGACCTTTAAAATAATCTTCCTTTCTTCTGGTGATTATATACTACTCAGCTGTTGCTTTAGGTCGATACACTTTGTTGTTAAACTAAAGCTATATTATATATCGTATGTTAAAGTGGCTGTTGTTGAATAATTATTCTGGATCACCGCTCCTTTAAGCTAGTTCAGTGACACTTGTAGCTGCCTGTGTGGTTAGTTTAGTCCTAAGTCAGCATTAATATCAGAAGACTTGCTGTATCCACATGTCAAGTACTCTGGTATACTTGTGTGTACACTAGACTTAGGCCTTAAAGATCTGTAATCAAGAGAAAAAAAGGTGGCTTAAAAGATGTTATTTTAAGCCACCATTATTTTAGGTCTGTTTCATCATAAAGACAAAGTTTTTTGAGTCACAGCTAAGAAGTTATCTAAGGGTATTGCTGCTTTTCAGCTATGATGCAGTACTGCCTATACTGTAATAGATCAACCATCCACAGCGTCAAGAAGGTTGGCTCCAATCACTGGTGAGGGATTTGCTTTGTGCGTATGAGTTTGTAAGAGACTAGGATAAAGCAGGCAGGTATTTGCTAAAGGGCAGTAATGGCTTTATAGGTTGTCCTGGTATTATTTCATCCTGTTTTGATGGTAAGTGCCAATGCATGTGTGCATTCAATGGTGAAAAATACAGAGAAGTGGAATATGGGGCATTTCCTTGTGTGTGCGCAGGTCAGTGCGAGTTCAGCGGCTGGGGCGCAACTGGATCGTTTAGGCATAGCCTGTGTTCACGGTGCACACAAAATGAAAAAGCCCTTTTGCTTTTAGCTTTGTCCTTGCAGGAGCAGTTGATAACCATTTAAATTCCGTACTGCAGTAAGAAGCAACACGTACAATGAGTCTTCCTAAGCTTTTGGATAAGTTACAGTTTGGAGCAGGGATAAAAGTGTTAGTGTTACTGATTGCCGTTTTTAAGTGTTTGGGCACTGTTAATATTTTTTTTGAGTACCTGAAAGTTTAAGGACAAACAGAAGTAATATGTATGTGTATCAATACATCAGAAACAAAATTTGACGTGTTATTAATTATTCTTTTATTCATTTTGCTAATAATTCTTGTGGTTTATAGTGCGTGTGCTTTTTTTCTCCCCCTGCCCTCTCCCCTCCCAGCTCCCCCCTTGCTTGCTGGACAGTAATTCTGCAATTACAGAAGAAAGTTTCTGTTCAAAATTAGTTCAAAATTGGTTTCTTATGTTTTATGCAAGTGATTCTGGAAAAGACAGAAATAACAAAATAATTAAGCTTTTTTTTCAGTAAATGTGCATTACTTTATTTTGTGATATAACTAACACATTCTTTGGCATAACATGACTTAAATTTGCAGTGCACCCGTTCTCATGACATAAACATCTTTTATATAATGCATTTTTTCCTGTGATGCCTGCTCTTCTATCGTACTGTGTATTTTGGAGAACATGACTGCGTGTGATTTCTGTTCTGAAGAATATATCCTAAGATGAAACACGCAGATGGAGAGATGTGTGAAGTGGGAGATAAAGGATCTATTCTGTCTCGGTGAGAATACCTGTCTAGTTGATGTAGTCTGAGTGATACAGAAAACCCTTTTGCCAGGCGTTTACGAAACAGATACCCTCAATTACAAGATAATTGATTAAAACAAGGGTAATGCAACAGATCTAGTTGCTTCTGTTTCAGGCAATTATATTTACCTGGTGTTCTTGCCTAATGCAACATTGCTCCTATATTCTTTGAAAGTGCAGCTTTCCTTTCATGTTTATCGTTGTTCCTTCTTTTTCCTACTGTATGCATAAATGCTTCTGATTCCCAAGTTGGGAAAAGCTAATCCTCCCTAGAATCGATCCATGAAATCTGGCTGCAGTTACTACTTGCAAATATTTATGTTGATGCCATCTAGGAATTCACTGTTGCTAATGATTTCTTATGGCCCTGAGTGTCATTTGAGACATGGCTTGTTCCCTTTTAGACCTTGTTTTTTACTCCCAAAGTGAAAGACACCGAGTGCCACCTGCTTTTTATGAAGAAAAAAAAAAAAGAAAAAGAAAATGAATAGATGAAAAGGTCACACATCTTGGTGGTTCTTCTAGCAATTACATGCAGATGATAAACAGTTATGCAGACTTTTTTTTTTTTTTTTCTCCTTCCTTCCTCCAGAATCATTTCAATGGCCCCGGGACTGTAGGGTTATTTCACTATCATACTATCCAGTCTCATACAATCAATGTCATTTCCCAAACCCTGCTATTCGGTTCTACCCTGAGATTAATGCTAAGTATTTGTTGCTGCTTTGGTGCAGGCAAACATATATAACAGAACGTAAGTAGGGATTTGGGCTATGCAGTTGTACATTTTAAGACTCAGAAATGATTAGAGCCTTGTAGCTCTTAGATCTCAAAATGTATATGTTTGCATTGTGGTAATGTTATTCTTGGCTTGATCAGAAGCATTTTGTGCTGTGTCACGAGGCATCTAACTTCCTTCTTTGGGTAGTGCTATACCTGTATAGATTATTTATTACACTTAGTAAGCCCCGTATATTCATCTAAAGTTTAAACTCTGAGTTAATAAGTGTGTAGTATGTCAATATAATTGTAGGATGAAGAGGAGAAATTAAGTGCAAATACTGGTAGTTAATGTGTTCTTTGGGATTTCTTTTCCTGGGTTGTTACACTGTTTTCTCAGTAGTAATGTTGTTAATCATTGCTGGAACTCCCTTTGCAAGGAAGAGAAATAAAAGGTTATCTCTTTTTCTGTATGAATTACTTGATCAAAAGCACTGGAATGTCAATGCAGGGACCTCTTACATGCCACAAAGCTTTTGTAATGTTTCTCAAAAAAAAACAGTCCGTGTATGAATAGTATTTTTGTTTCCTATAGCCCTTGTTAGTGCAGATGTGTGATAATTTTATGAGTATAGTTGTCGGCTTTGTTCTGGATA